GCCTGAGCTGAAGGTGTGGGCTAGAATGGCCTGAGCTCGGGTTGTGGGCGAGCATGCTAAATAGGTGGCATAGTTTGGTAAATGTGCACCAGCAATTGTTCGTGTTGGGAGCTTGGGGGGGAATCTGTCCGTCAAGTTTCTGGGAGATTGCTGCCTACTGGAGGTTTGGGAAATAACGGTGTCTCTGGTATGTGTTTGTTTTTGTTTTTACTTTTGTTTAACCACGTAAAAACTGTACTGGCTCTTTCCATTTCCCATCTGCGCCTCATGAAATGGCACAGTGTGAAAGTGGGGAAATACTGAAAATATGGGCAAAACTGGGCAAATACCACTGGGAGACCAGAGAATGAAATCCTTAATAGTCAGAGGGGGTTATATTGCACAATTTTCCCCACCCCACATCTCACTGCTCAACCCTCAACCCTACAGGTCAAGACTGCCTGGCGGCGGTGATGCCTGCACGAGGTCTCCGTGGGGCAATGTGGGCGAGGTGGCTCTCCTGTCACTCAGCACAGATCCAGACCTGACCTCCTCCTGTGTGTTCACTTTCTCAAGTCCGTTCCTCTCTCCCCCTCAGACCCCACGCCCCATTCCCTACAACCATGTCTCAGCGTGTGAGTAAATAGTTTCAAGTGTGCCAACCCAGGGGTTCTGTGGAGTCATAATTAAAAAAACCCTAAATGGGTGATTTCCTAAGAGTTAGATATGAAAGCACTGGAGCAGATTTGTTGAGTAGATACTTTCGGGGGTGAAGGGGAAGATTAAAAGATTTGGCTCTGAAATCCCGCATAAATTCCTGTATTGTCCTAATACTGTAGATGACTTACTGCTAGACTGAAATCATAAACTATTAAAATGGGAAAGCACATTAGCGGTCATTTATATCACGCTCCTACATAAGCCCTGACGTCTTTTCACACATGGTTAAAATCATCAAGCTTTGTAAGCTCTCTGTTCAAACTCTACTCTTCCCTCGCCGATGGCACCCTCTTCCAGTTCTGAAGGTCTCATTTAGATTTTCCTTTACGGTGAAGAAATCCTGAAACATGTTTCCATTTGTCTGTTTTCTGCTTTGCAGATCAATAGACAGCGAATTTCTTCAGATCTGCATAATTGCCAAGTAGCTTCTTCTTGAAACTTGTACTCAGTTTCTTTACTATTTTCTGTATGATTATTTTGCACACAACTTTAATATTCTTTGCTACACTCCCCTGATGGTCAATACCCTCCAGAACCTGGTCCCTGGAATTGGTGATGTGTTTCTCTGTGTTGTCTGGTCATCTTGGAGAGAGTTGGGAGTATTACTTCCCGTCAAGCCCCGACTTCCGTTAATATAGCCTGAGTTCACAAGCCTTATTTTTGGTGACAACTTTTTTACATCATTGGTTCACATTGAGTTTTAGCTCACCCAAAAGCTCCAGATTATTTTCTACTGAAATGATCCTATTTAGAACACCTCCAGTCTGTTCTTCTAAATTTACTTTGGAAGAACTATCATTTAAGAATTTTCAAAATAATTATCCAGCTGGTTTTAGTGCAGGGTTCTAGCTTGTCAATGTCATTTTGTTTCCCGGCCTTAGGATGTCTCATTGCAAAGATCATTGAGAAGAACAGTTTTCTTTTTCTGGAGAATTAACGAGAACATATGAAAAACAGAAGCCTGGATTATATATCAACTCCATATCTAACTGTATGACCTTAGTATCTCAGTCGATCCTCAGTTTCCTAATATTTTAAGAGAAAGTTTCATATCTATTTGGACCACATCACAGGGATCTGGGAAGGACAATTAGAACAATGGAGATAAGAATTTTCACAAATATAAGTTGCTTCATGGAGGAGGAGAAGCAGGAAGATGATAAAGATGATGGTGATGACGTTGCTGATGTTCATCGCCATCTTCACCATCTTGGGCCACATGGTAATCTGTGGATCCCAAACCCCAGAGAAAGTAACCTAAATTATAAGGAATTTTATATAATTACAGTCATTTTTAGGAGCTAGAGAGAATACCATTGACCGTGGAATAGGACGTTGTAGAATGTGTCCTGTGGCTTTGTAGAGAGAACTCTCACATCTTAGCCTGTGACCAGGAGCAGACCTTGGGAGAACTCTCTAGAATGTCCAGTTTATCTTTTCATCCCCCTTTCTCTGCTTCTATTCCTAATGGCAATGCCTCATCTCCACTCTCCACCTCTGAAGGCCCAGAGCTAACAAGCTCCCTTTTGGTGTCCTGGTTCCCAAAGAAAGAGGCCAAGGAACCATTAATTGTGTCTTCTTAGCACATCTGAGGTAGCCCTTCTGATGAACAAGGTGGCTCTGGAAGATAGAGGGAACCTGGTCCTGAGGGTCTGAGGCTTTGGTCAGAAAAACTTGGATGTTGAGGACAAGAAGGGACCTTAATACATCACTTGGACCTCAGTTCGAGAAGCTGTGGGGAACTGGAATGGTGAGTGAAGAGGAGGTGGTGGGACCTGTGTGCTGGGGAAGGGGTCCTGGTTGGACTGTGGTGGGGAGGGATGTGGTGTGGGTGCAGTGGGGCAGCCCAAAGAAAAGGATTCACTCTCAAGACCAGAATTTCTCACCTTATAATTTTTTGCCCATGGATCCCGTTTGTCAACGAGTTTATATCTCATAGAGGACACTGAGGCCATGGTGTCAAACACAAAAGAGACGTCACAAGCATGTTGGTCCTGGCAGTGGTTGGCATAAAGTCATGCCTTTATTTCTCACAGACAGCATTGTCTCCATCCAACCCGTCTTATCCCTTCCCTTTCCATTTATCCCATTTTATCTTATTCCATAATACAGCTCTTCGTGGAGCACCTTCTATGTGTTCAACTCCATGCAATAGTGTTTGTAAGAGAAGATCTCAGTCTATTTGGGTGGATGAGACTCATCCACATGACATAAATAGAGGATAAAGTAAAATAGTAGTACATTTAACAGCCCAAATGAATGGAACAGAAATCGAGGGCTAAAAGAGGATAGGAGGAGGAAGCCAGGTAGCTGGGCTATATTTCAGGGGATGGGCAGGTGAAAAGGTAGGTGATAGCTCTTCAGGTAGCAGGGGCCTGCTGGTGGCCCTGAGAATCTCAGACTTGAATCCCCCCTCTCCCCACTTCCTGCACACCACCCTGCCCCCACCCTTACCAGGAAAGGCTGAAGGGAGGACACTAGAGTTAGGTCACCTGTGAAGTCCAAGTCAGTGTCATGTGTAAATAAACCAGTGTTCCCCTCCCCCACCAGGGCCTCTCCCAGCCCCTTCAACCCTGATTATGCCCTTAAACTACCTTTATTTCTTCTGCTAATTTGTAAATTTCCCACTGAAATTTTAAAGATATATCTGAAAATAGAGTAGAGGGAATTCACATTTTATTAGAAATCAGAGGAGTTTGTAATTCCCTTAATGAATAAAACTATACTTGGAACTGAATAACAACAAAAACAATCAAAACTTTTGGAGTAAGCTACAGTAGTATTTAGAGGGAAATTCATAATCTTAAATACATATATTTGAAAATAAAGAGTTAGAAAAAAGAACAACAGAGTAAAACCAAAGAACATAGAAGAAAGGAAACAATAAAGATGGGAACAGAAATTAATGAAACGGAAAAGAGCACAAATGAGTGAAAGTCAAAATTTAAAAACTAAAGCTGATTTTTCAGAATGACTAGTAAAGTTCTCCTAATACTGATCAAAATCAAGAAGAGAGAGAACACAATAAAAATACTAGGCATTAAAAAAAGGAATACAATTTTATATTCAAAGGAAATTTAAAATTTTTAAGAGAATTCTATGAATAAAATTATGCCAATAAATTTGAAAATATAGATGAATGGATAAAAAAAGATAAGTAAATAAAATTATTGAATTTCAGGTATCAAAGAAAGCAATGGCACTATTATTCCCACGGGAAGAAATACTTTCTTGCTATTTCCCAAATTAAATCCTTTAAATATTTGATTCCTTTAAGTTTTTCTATAAATGTAGACCTATTATAAACAAGACCAATGTTTTAAGAAACATACCAGAGACTACGCATCCATATTCAACTATTCCTTTATTTTAACAAGATTTTTTTTTTTTTGGTCAAATTTACTATCAGTTAAATTTGCCCCCTTTGAGCTAAGGTGCTCATTCTAACACCTTTTCCTCTTCTCACAATGTATCTGGAACTCTTCAGGTGGCATTGAATTTGGAGTTAAGAACCCTAAAAGAGAATTAGTCTCTTTATTTTATGGCTACCTCTTATAGCTTGTCCTCTTACCCTAATCACCAGATTGGGGCATTTTTGAAAAATGAGGCTCCTTCTCAGGTCAAGTTGTGATCCCTGGAAACAGTCAAAAGTTGTGCTGCAGACACAGCACAGGCCTGGCGTGAAGAGTCTCCTACACAGGAGCTATTTTACTGTGCAGATCTGAGAGCCACTGGTGCCTGTGGCCAGACCTCCAGTTGAGGGTAGCAGCTGGTCAGATATGACCAGGCAGAGAGGGATCCAGGAGATAAAATACCCTAGTCTACTTCTCCCAGCTCCACAGATCCTCTGCGGACCTCCCCATGGGCAGAGCTCAAGCAGAAGTCAGAGGACAATGGAATCCACTGGTGTGGTCCCTACAGGTCAGACTGGCAGGGCAAGAGAAGGATGGAGAAGGGTAGAGAGTGGATCTGCAGGGGGAAAAGGGAAATATCCGGTACAGAAGCTATTTTATTTTATAGTCTGGGGAATTTTAAGTTAGCACCTAGAAAAAGAAAGAGAAGGAGAAAAACAAGAGATTTGGTCAATTCGCAGATCTCCACAAGCCACAGAGCAATGCCACTGGAGGAATCTGATGCTTCACTGACAGGTGCAAAAAACTCACGTGGGGCCGACATAATGCGCTTCACAGGTGGTGCTAACACTCAATAGAGGATGCATTTTGGTCTTGAAATTCCTCATATTAGAGTCTTTAAACCATGTACAATGAATTACTGCTCAAGCATAGCAATTTTGCAGTTTCTTAAATTTGTTGGTATTTATGGGGAGGGGCAGGCCTGGAAAATAGTAGGGAGCGTGCTGGAGAGATGCTGAACGAATCATGGTAAATTGAGAAAAAATTATGCTTCTTGAGCAAATGATATACTTTTAAAAGCAACTTCATAATTCCATCAAAAATTTGGCTGAAGATATTCTTCTCGGCCTCCTCCCTTACACTTCTTAGTTTTTCATCATATTTCATCTTCAGTAATTTAATTTTTTCCTCTTTTTCCTGCATGGTCTTCCTGCACGCCTGAGCACACTCCTCTTCCACTCTTTGAATTTCCTTTTCTAATTGATCAGCGTAGATTTTCTTCAGGACCTCTGCCCGTCGTTTCAGCCTTTCCTCTGCGTCCTTGTAGATGGCATCCGAAAAGTAAGCCCCTCTGTTGTTCTGCACCATTTTCTCCACCAGCTCCACCAGCTCCTGCACTTGAGCTTCCTTCTCAGCTTCGTCTGCTCTGTTGTTGAAGGCGCAGTAGCGGTTCCCACACTCCTGGATGATGTTTCTTAGCTTCACATCCGCCTCTGCTGTAAAGTGACTTAGGCTCTGATCCTCCAAACTATCTTTGCGAGTGAACAAGATGATCATGTGCTTCATGGCTGCCTTTCCAAAGACAGCCTTGATCAATGCAATGGTTTTCTGCTCTTCCTCTGTGTAGCGGCCCAGCTGCAGAACCACTATGATGGCGTGAGGCCCGGGGCAGGAGGAAAGGACACACTTGCTGATTTCCTCACAGGTCGTCTCCAGGCTCTTCCTGGTGTCAAAGAGCCCTGGGGTGTCAACAACAAGAAGGTCCCTGCCCTTCCATTCCCGGGATGCTTTTTGACAGGTCTTGGTAACAGCGTGGGCAGAAATTTTAGAAGCAAATACTTCTGCCCCAAGGATGGTGTTTGCTGTTGCACTTTTCCTACTTCCAGTTTTCCCTACCAGAACAATCCTCAGACCGTTGTCCTGAGAGTCAGCCATGTTCATATCAAGAGGCTCTGGAGTGTAGGCAACTTAACTATGGTTCAAAAAGGAAAGAAAAACAGTTTATTTAGATAAGTTGAAACCACTCCCCACCCTTCTTTTCCTTATTTCTTATCGCCCCGAATATGTAAGTCACTCCGAGTCTCTAAGCCAGGTAAGGTTTATCACTGAGGACACTCTCCCTGATGTTGTACTTATTCTTCTAGTTTCCGTGGCGTTCCCCTCTTATGCTGCTGTGATGAAAGCAGTGTTTACAATTTTAAATCTGGCATTTTACTATTTTTTCCGTTTGTGTAATATATATTTTGTTCTAGAACAGATCCCAGTTTGTTTTTTTAAGATATCAAATCTGAGGACGGTGACAGATGGCAACTAGCCTTTTGGTGGTGAACTCGATGTAGTCTACACAGAAGTCGAAATATAATGATGTACACCTGAAATTTGTATAATGTTATACACCAACATTACCTCAATAACAAAATTAATTTAAAAATATGAGGAATCCTGATGGAAGCAATTAGCATTCTATCCCATGAGAGAGTGCTCTCAAAAAGCATTAACAATCTGGACACACAGAAAGAAGTCTAATAATAACTATGTCAGAGGAGGGAGTGCAACTATATCTTATATAGCTGACCCACTATGGGGAGTATTGACATGGACAGAAAAAAACCGTTCAGTGAGAGATGTGAAAACTGTCTTTAAATTTGTGTGTGCTACACACAACAGAGTTAGTCTTATTTTCTCAAGCTGCACAGAAAAGGGAAGATAAGTTTGATGTCATCATGTAAAAAATACTCTAATATTTAGAAACAATGATGGATCCCTTATGATCTATAGTAACAAAGAATTTGAAGTGAATGGTCATGTGGCTCAGTATTTTAGAAGATAATCCTGCATTGGGTGAGAAAATAGATCAGCTAATGTCTACACTTTAAATAACATATATCTATTGTAGGTAAATATAGCTTATCAACATTGACCTCAGTAGAGACAATAAAATTGAAATAGACCGATGACCATGAAAGAAATAATAGAGAAAGGTGTTGAAGAGCTCCCACAAAACAGCATCAGTTCCAGATGGTTCCACAGGAGAATTCTATTAAACCCTCAGGGACTAGAGAATCCCAATGCTACTTAAATTACCCCAGAGTATAGGGAAAGAAGGCAAACTTTAAAATTCTTTCTAAGAAGTGAATGTAACTTTGAGCTGCAATGCTCACAAAGATTGTACCAAAAAAGAAAACTACAGATGAATCTCCCTTTATGCATATCAATACAAAATCCTAATAAAATACTAGCAAAATAGAATCCAACAAAATTTTTAAAAAATGGTACACCATGACCAAGTGAGATTTACTCTAGAAAACGAGAGTAAGGAGGAAGGATCAATAATAGGAAAATTAGTAATATAATCCACCAATAGCCATTCATTAAAAACATTTCATAAAATATGAATTGAGACATACTTTCTTACCTATTTCTCTATCTATTCAGCCCCAAAGCCAGCAACTTAATGGGGAAATAGTTTGTTGCTAAATCCATGATATCTCCACCTCACTTTCCTGTGCTATGTGAGGAATTAGTCAATGCAAATAGAAGAAAAAGTAATTATAGAAATGAGAATTAGAAAAAGAACACAAGGGGAGGCCAGGTAGTAAATAATATTGTATTGTGCATCTTTCAGTATTGGTGCACAAATGGGAAGACCGATGGAAGAAAATAGAACATCCAGACAAACACTCAATTGCACGGGGAAATTTAGTATATAATAAAGGTAACACTCCATATCAGTGGAGAAAAGATAGCCATTGTAATGAGCAGTATTAGAATAACTGGATAATCATTTGCAAAAACATAAAATTGGCTTTGTTCCTCATATCAACCCAAGAAATATGCCAAATGGATTAGAAATTTCATTGTTAAAAAATGAAACCATATAATATTAGAAGAAAACAGGCAAATCTTTCAAAACCAGAGAGTGAGGAAAACTTTCTTAAATTTAACTGAAAATACAGATGCAATGTGGAATAAAATTGATGAATAATGACTTCCATTTATTCTGCATGTAAGGGGCTTGGAAGTCACTGCTCCATCCTAACAACAAGTAAAAAGCTGAACAGACTGAAAATTGAACAACTCTTCTTGGATCCCTAGGAGATCCTTGTGAGGACACAGGGCAAACTGCTACCTCCAGGACTGGAGAGACCGACAGGCAAATAGAGGGAGCCACAGCTGATCAGAGCAGAGACTCATGAGCAGAAACCAGGTGGGAACAGAGCTGGGGTAGGAACTGTAATCGACGAATTGTTGGAGGCCCAGCTTGGACGACTCTGAGAGTCAAAACTCCAGGGGGACCCACTCATAGGGAGGTCCCCACACTTATGTGAGTTTTACTACTAGATGCTTGACCAGGTTCTCACAACAAATATCAGAAAAATCCCCTGGTGCTCCTGGCAGGGGGAGGAGAAAAGAACCATTGTGAAATACGCCAGAGCACTCTGTTCTTCTCAACAAGGCCTGCCCTCAGGAGAAACTAGTCAACCAGAGCCTAGCCTGCTGGGGTTTTATCAGAGCCTAATGACCTGGGGGAAGGAAAACACCCAACTCCAGTCAGCTCTAAGCCATCCACACAGGAGAAGGAAAAACCCAACTCCAGTCCATTCTAGCCATCCTGTCCCACCTAAGTGGGGAGGAAAAAACTGAGAAACACTTGTGAAGTTTGCAGCAGAGGCACAGGCTCACTAAAACTGAGACGTAATCATAGGACTACTGAACGCTTCTCCTCCCCCGTTCTCACCACATCACTAAAGGCTTATTTACAGCAGTTCCTTTTACCGAATCCATCATGTCCAGCTATCAAGAAAAATTTACAAGGCATACTAGAAGGCAGAAACCGCACAGTTGTGTGTTGATTTACAATGGGGATGCATTCTGAGAAATGTGTCATTAGGCGGTTTCATCATTGTGGGAACATCATAGAGTGTACTTACACAAACCTGGATGGTATGGGCTAGGCTCTCTGATACTAATCTTTTGGGACCACTGTCATACATGCGTTTTGTCATTGACTGAATCATCATTATGGGGCACATGACTATAATTTGAAGAGACAGAGCAAGCACCAGAAGCAGACATGGCAGGGATGTTTGGAATTATCAGACCAAGAATCTAAAACAACTATGATGAATATGCTAAAGGCTCTAAAGGATGAGTAAACAGAATGCAAGAACAGATGTAAGCAGGGATGAAAATCCTAAGAACCAAAAATAAATGCTTGAGGTCAAAAACAGTGTAACAGAAATGAAGAATGCCTTTGATGGGTTTATTAGACATGCCCAGATGGTAGTCTTCAGTACCATTTTCTGCCAAAAGAAACCAGGGATTCTTGGAGAAAAGACTGATTCAAAGTTTGGGGTAGGAAATGCACAAAATAACCTGGAATCATCTGATTGGACATTTTTTTTTTGCATCCTAATTCAAACAAAAAAAAAACTATAAATAAATTATGAGATAATCCATGAAATCTAAACACTGATGACAAGATACGTGATAAAATTAAAGGTTTAGTACCTTTGATATTGTGGTTATGTTTTTTAAAATGATCTTTATCTTTTAGATATACATACTAAAATATTTACAGAGGAAATTATATGATGTCTAGTATTTGCTTCAAAATAATCCAGGAGTGTGATGAGAAGTGGGTTGGGATATACATGAAACATGAATGGCTGGGAGGTGATACATGTTGAAGCTTGGCAATGGATACATGTGGGGTTATTATACTATTCTTCTGTTAATGTCTGAAATGTTCTATATTAAAAGGTTTACGATGTGTGTATGCCTTTGTGACCACTACATAGTACAACTGTATTCCAGACACTCTGATATGCATGTTTCATAGGCATATTTACTCCTTATACTCTAAAATTATTCTAATTTTATAGGCAAGGAAACCGTGGCTCAAAAAAGCTGAGAACCTTGCCTGAGGTCCTGGTGCTGATAGGAATTGGGCAGAGAGGGTCCAGTTCACAGTGTGACTCCACCGCGCTCCCTCTTACCTCTGTACACTGCCTCCTCTTCTCGGTTCCTTCTCGGGCCTGTGATTGTGTGCAGGGTTGTCATGAGGCTTTCATAGAATGATTTCTGTTAAGGTCTCTTACACTGCCTAGAGCATAGCAGCCACTCAATAAAAAGGTAGTGCTACAAAATGCCATTGAAATATAAGAAAATCATGGGCCAAAACGTAACTGAGCGACTTACAGCCACATTGCAATTTAGAGATTCAGCTGGACTTACAGGTTATATTGTTGCTACAGACTAGCTAATCCCTCTTTACAGCATCCCCTCCTCCACCCCGTATCTTATACTTTGAGGGACACAGCCTCCTTTTTGGGAAGTGTTGGAATGGAGCTACACAAGGAGTCAGTAGGCCAGGTTCTAGGTTTGTGTATGTATGTGTGTTGTGTATTCATGTTTTTGTGTATGTTTCTATGTGTGTTATGTTTGTGTGTAGGTGTGTTTGTTATGTGTATGGGTGTTGTGTATTCGTGTTTTTTTGTGTGTGTTATATATGTATGTTTGTGTATGTGTTATGTTTGTGTGTATGTGAGTGTATGTGTGTGACTGGTGTGTGTATTGTGTTTGTGAGTGTATGTGTGTTGTGCATGTATGTTTGTGTGTGTTATGTTTGTGTGTATGCATGTGTTGTGTATGTATGTGTGTGTGCGTGTTGTGTTTATGAGTGTGTGTGTATTTTGTGTGTGGTATATTTGTATGTATGTGAGTGTATGTGTGTGTGAACGTATGTGTTTGTGTGTATGTGTGTGTTGGTATGTATGTTTGTGTGTATCCGTGTGCTTTGTATGTATCTGTGTTGTGTTTGTGTGTTTCAGTGTATGCACATTGTGTATGTATGTTTGCATGTGTTATGTTTGTGTGTATGCATGTGTTATGTATGTATGTGTGTTGTGTTTATGAGTGTGTGTGTGTGAGTGGTGTGTGTGTTATGT